CTACACACGAATTTGAAGGTGAAGAAACCCAACAGGCACCGCGAAAATCGTATTTAAATCGAAAGCACAACGTACGGTTCGCTATAAATTTTGAGTTTTCAAATTACAACGGATCTACTTTCGCGAACGCGGTTGCGAAGAATGAATGTAGCGTCTCGAAAATGAGCGAGTGCAACACATTCTTTTTGTAAATTTATAATTCGTATTTGACGCAGCATATTTGACATGTGATATATACTCGCTGCAAAATTGTCAAAAAATAAACCACAATAGATACTTTATAATGAATATTTTTATTCCCTCCCCCCCACCGCTCCTTTTTTCAGGTTGCAACAACATCATCAACAACTTTCCAGAAATAGGACGTATGCACTTGTGCACGTAGAAGCAATTGTCTGGCGCCGGGCTGAAAAGGTAGGGGAAACCGAGGATAGTTAATATCTGGGGCACGTTGATACATTTAAAATTATTGCAAAATGACAAACGATAAAATTCATAAAAAATATAGTAAAAACATTGCGCTCAGCTTGTAATAAGTTATTTCAGGCTAATTAATGTATTTTCGGAGACAGAAAACATTTTCAGTTTTTGATAGTCAAAAGTAAAATAAATCAGACGTATATATAATGTTATATTAGTAAATTTGTTATATTAATAAATCATTGTATTATGATTGCAACAATTTATTTAGAATCTTTATATTAAAAATAATAATTTTTAATTATATTGATGGCTTGAAATATACTTTTGTTTATACAACAATTAAAATATGTAAATATGGTGAGCTGGGACTGGTTCTTACGAAGTCTACTGTTTCATCTGCCTAATATTTTTTGAGATATTTAAGAAAAACTTTTCAACATTTAACCAACGATATTTCGCTAACTATTTGTCGGAAGAAAAAGTGATATTAGACTTTTTACTCTATTTGGTCTCTAAAATATATTACTACGATAGTGCCCTAATTTTTATTGAAATATGAATCTTTGAAAAGAGCAATGGGTAAAAAGGGTCAATTTTATCTCATCGTGGGAAACACGGACAAAACATATCATTTCCAGAGGATTTTGACCTGCTGAACATAATGCAGTCGTTAGTTTTCGTCTAAAATCCGGGAAACCTGTTCTAATCCGAGCATCTATCATCCGATAATCGAATGGCCTGGGAAACCTTTGCGCAGCCTTTGAAGCTATTGCGAACTCGTGTATTAGCTAAATTAGCTGGAGACAGCTTAGATTTTCGATTTGATAGAATTATTTTCGATTTAATAGTAGAAGATATTCTCTTTTTATGCAAAATGTGCTATATGTGTAACATATAATATATGTGGTGTCACAGACCACCCGTACCACCCGATCTTTTTGTAAATGCGACATTATATGGACAAATGTTTCGGACAAAAGTTGTACAATTTCAAAGGGTACTTAAGACAGCGATAGTGGTTTGTTTATAGATGACACTATTTTCGAGATATTCACTGATCATTGCTTTTCTTAAGTGGAAACCCCAATTTTTTATTTTATCATCTTTTTCCACGAATTAACTTTAACAACTTTTGTCTGAAACATTTTTCTATTTGCCTAATATTTTCTGAGATATTTAAGCAAAGCTTGATAACTTCTTCAGCTTCACGCTCCCGTATAAATGGCCGCCCTACGCTGTCATTCAAGTCTCCCTTCCACGCTCTTTTTGTAAACGCGACATTTTAGGAGAAAATGTTTCAGACAAAAGTTGTATAATTTCAAATGGGACATAAGACAGTGATAGTGTTTTGTTTACAGATGGCGTCACTTTCAAGATATTGTAACGAGGCGCAGATGCACCTCGTTACTACCGGTCCGACCGACCACCTGTCGGGCCGAACAACGGCGCATTGCGTCACCCTAAAGAACCGAGACGATCGCGCCGCCGCTATCACGCGCCGCCGCTATCACGCGCCGCCGCTATCACGCGCCGTCGCTATCGCGCGCCGCGGCGATCACGCGCTGCCGCTAGCGCGCGCGGCCGCGATCACGCGCCGTCACCGTGCCTCGCACCGATAGGCGCGCCGCTCGATCGCCGCCGTATCAATCGTAGTGCGTTCAACTATAAAACGGCGGCGATCGAGCTTCTAGTCACCAGACCGATCCGTACCGCCGATTCGATCTAGACGCTTCATGCCGAAAGAGAGAATATCCGAACCGTTTCGCTCTGCTTTCCGTATTCCGACTACCCGACCAGCGACTAAGCAAACGGGATTGTGCGTCTGCAGTCTCGATCGAGCGTACTCGATATTTGGCCGTCTCCCGTCTTCCTGGGCTCGTGCGTGCGCGTGCTCAATCGAGCGTACTCGACAGTCTCTCGCCTTTACCCGCCGCCTTGAGTCAAGGGTTCGTCCGTCGGAGAACTCCGCTGAGCGTACTCAGCCTTTAGGCGAACCGTCTAGCGACCAAGAACCCGGAACGGTGTGTCCGCCGTCTCCGCTGAGTGTCCGCAGTACTTGGTCGCTTTCCTCCGCGAACGTAGGGAAAAGGGAAGGTGCGTACGCACCTTCCCTTCTCTGTCGAGAATCCTCGGCCCCGACGGACGAAATCATTTCGCGTCTCCCGCGACTCGCATGCGTGCGTTCGACCGATAATCGAAATCTCCGGTCCGGCGACCATTTATACGCGAGCGATTTCGAGACGAGTATTGGGCGATAATTGTCCGAGACGCCCAGCGTCGCGAAGCGAGACCGATCACCGCACCGTTACCGTCGTTACCGTCTACACGCGTCGCGCAATAGGCCCCGCCTTCCGCACGGCCTATCCGTCCGTACGAGCGCTTGTACCGCTCACCGCACCGCACCGTACCGTACCGTACCGACGCGCTTTATAGACGCAACCCGCAACACCGCCTTCGGGGCCGAACTCGTATCCCAGTAAGCATACAATAAACCTACAATAAAGTTATTTCGATTTCCATTGTCAAGTGTCTCGCTGCTTTACTCCTCCTCGAATCCGGACTCCGACGAGCATTATCCGCGCGAAACGCGTAGCAGCGACCGAACCGCGGAGATCGGCCGTTACAATATTAACTAATAATTATTTTTTAATGGAAATACTAATTTTTCATTGTATTATCTTATTTTACTACTCAATTGGAACAACTTTTGTTCGAAACATTTTTTTATTTGCCTATTTTTTTTAATATAATATTTAAGGAAAACGCTTTCAACATTTAACTTGCGATATATCGCTAACTATTTGTCGGAAGGGAAAGTGGTATTAGACTTTTTTATTCTATTTAGTCTCTAGAATATATTGCTATAATAGTGCCCTAATTTTTTGTTAATTTGATGATTTAGAAATTTTCAGAAAGGTCGATAAGTTAATAAAAAATTAGGGCACTATTGTAACAATATATTCTAGAGACTAAATGGAATAACAAAGTTTAATATTACTTTTTCTTCCGACAAGTAATTAACGATATATCATAAGTTAAATGTTGAAAGAGTTATCCTTAAATATCTCAAAAAATATTAGGTAAATAAAAAAATATTTCTAATGAAAGTTGTTCTAATGAAAGTTGTTCAAATTAATTGGTAGGAAAAGACGATATAATAAAAAATTGAGATTTACACTTAAGAAAATTAATAATCAATAAATATCTCGAAAGTGACGCCACCTATAAACAAAATGCTATCGCTATCTCATGTTCCCTCTTTAAACCAAACAACTTTTGTCTGAAATAGTTTTTTGATTTAACGTTGTGTTTCTGATTATTTATCAGCGCTCATTAATTATTTTATCGTTCACGTCCAGTGAGATACGCCGTGACAAACCAAGTTACAGATGAACCATGCATTCTAGCTACCCGTCAATGATGCCTGATCAACTACGCACGCATCAATGGTGTATTGTCGAACGACAATTATCCTGACCGTAAATGATATCTGAGGCACAGTTCTAGGTTTGAGTCTACTGTTCGTAGAACAATAGCTTCTATACAATAAGTTTGACAAATTGCTACATCATGAACTCGCCATCGTATTGAGTTGCTCGGTAAGGATTTAATTGCGATATTTTTTTTCAATCGTATTTTATTGTGCACCTTGTTGTTACAGATTGCAGATACGCTATAAATTAAGAGAAATAATGGAACTTACGTTACCACTGCTAACGTGGCCATATCGTATAATTATACTGGTCAAACTATATTGGACAGGCAACGCTTATGATTACTTTCTACTTTGCGAATAGGAGGCCGAAGTTATTGAACGCTTTTTGAATGACGTCACATGCTCAGTTCTTTGCAATCGTCGAATTTCATTGGGCCGTAATGTAAGCGTGATATCGCAGCTACATAATGCTTCGCCTGATGTAATCGAACGGGCTGGACAACGAAAGTCTCTTTCCCATATTATACGATTCGAATAAAAATAAATAAGAATCCAATGTACCACATTAACCAATAAAACGATTACTTTTGATATCTCTACGTTTTCTCTTAGCTTATTCTCTTAGCTTAGCTCTATTCAATCTAGACAACGATGTATCTGGTGGTGATCGCCTGCGTTGCCCATCTTCTATATTTCTGTTTAACGTATCAGCATTTTCAACTGGAAAAATTTCAGCAGATGCCTCATCTCGTACGGCAAGTTCAAGTTCTAGTTGGCTTACGACCTTCGCTACGTCTAAAGCACTATTTAATATTTCTATCATCGTCGTCGTCGTCTACATTTACGGCCTCAACCAACTTTACATTTGCCGCGTGGAGTGTCACAATGTCAGCATTCAGAACAGTATCGCTGTTTACATCGCCAACGTTGTCGTACACTTTGCCGCTGAAATCTACAGTCGCCTTCCCACTCTAATTGGCGCATTTCTCATCGCATCACTCTGCGCTCTTCTCAGTGCTAGAACTAACTTTCTTCCCTCCGCTTCAAAATCTGCGCTCTCGTCGCCATGCTCGTTTGTATCCATACGGTTACTCACACCTCCATGTTCGTCCGAAGCGATATCCATGCAACTTTACTACTGTCACGACAATATGCGCTCTCGCTGCTTAGAAATATGCTCTTGTCGCTGCTGAGAACTACGCTTTTGTCGCCGTTGAAATCTATGCTTTTTGTCGCCGTTAAAATCTGTACTCTTGTCGCCATTGAGATCTGCGCTCGCTTCAATGCGAGGAGTTTCGTTCTTTATGTAGCTCATATCATCGCTGAGATTTGCGCTCATGTCGCCGTTGAGATCTGCGCTCTTGTCGCCGCTGAGGTCTGCACTTTTGTCACCGCTGAGATCTGCGCTCATGTCGCCGTTAGGATCTGCACTCGCGTCAATGTGAGGAGTTTCGTCATTTACGTAGCTCTTATCGCCGCTGAAATCTGCGCTCATGTCGCCGTTGGGATCTGCACTCGCGTCAATCTGAGCAGTTTCGTCATTTACGTTGCTGTTATCGCCGCTGAGATCTACGCTCATGTCGCCGTTAAAGTCTGCGCTCTTGTCGCCATTGAAATCTGCACTCGCATTAATGTGAGGAGTTTCGTCATTCACGTAGCTTTTATCGTCGTTGAGATCTGCGCTCGCGTCAATGCGGGGAATTTCGTTATTTACGTAGCTCTTATCGTCGCTGAGATCTATGCTTATGTCGTCGTTGAGATCTGCGCTCTTGTCGCCGTTGAGATCTGCGCTCGCGTCAATGTGGGGTACTTCGTTATTTTACGTAGCTTTTATCGCCGTTGAGATCTGCACTCTTGCCGCTGCTGAAATCTGCGCTCACGTCAATGCGGGGAGTTTCGTTATTTACGTAGCTCTTATCGTCGCTGAGATTTGCGCTCATGTCGTCGTTGAGATCTGCGGTTTTGCCGCCGTTGAGATACGCGTTCAAGTCAATGAGAGGAGTTTCGTCATTTACGTAGCTTTTATCGCTGCTGAGATCTACGCTCATGTCACCGCTGAGATCTGCGCTCGCGCGAGGAATTTCATTGTTTACGTAGCTCATGCTGTCTTTTGCATCGCCATGCACAGTAATATCGATACGATTGCTCACACCTCCTTGCTCGTCCGAAGCGCTATTGTAGTGCGCATTTTGCTTGTTACGATTGAAATTTTCAGCATTCACATAATGGCGCGCGTATTCGCTATTCTTCCAAAAACGTACCCAATTTACGAGACGCGTGTTCATTTTAGACAGTCGCTTAATGTACATACAAATTTGATCTTGAGCCGAGTTATCATGCGTAATTGATATATGCACAATCAAAATTACGACGATACCGAGAAGCAAAATTAGAGAAAGAATGATCAAACGAGACGACCACACCGGTTTATCACGGTCGCTATTTAGATGACCGCGTTCATCTCGAGATGTTTGCGTAGAATTCATTGTTCGATTTGCACCTTCTGCTGTACACAAACACCATCTGACCTTAGTAATCGCGACTCCTCACAGGAAGTCGTGGGTTTCTTTCGTTGATAAATCTTTTATCACCAAAGGCGGCGTTACAACGCTTCTACGACTTTTCGTTTGCTTCGTCACAGTTGACGATACAATAGCTCAAGTTTCGCACCTACCGCGCAATTCCTTTTCATCAGCGAATATCATTTCAGCGAGCGTTCGTTCATTTGACGCATGTTTCAGATCATCGTGAATCAAACGTTCGATACTCATAATGAAAGCCATAATCGATGCCACTCGTCGGTCACATTACGACGAATATAGATTATCATTCCAATATGATGATCGGTCATGTAGCGGCTTTGCAGGTTCATCGTTTACAGCTATTCGATCGTCTCGGATACCTTCGGCCAACAGAACGCCACGCTCCACATTGATCGGATCGCACACGATATAAAGTTTTCGCGTATTCGCATCTAACCAAGCGCATTTCGATATTCTGTTGACGAGTAACCTGCGCGACGTAACGCCACGTCCGACACGCGATAGACTTTCTCGATGTCATAGAAATATGAAAAGTACAAGGAGGCGCATTGGAGAACGTATTCGTGCTCGGATCCGATGGATAATGTGCCAATTAGGCATTCGGTTCCTCCCTGACACTGGCTTGCAGGATCCGCGCATCTGTGAGACAGTTGTCCAAATTGGTCTGAATACTGCCTATCGCGATAGCGCAATGTCTCTTCCACGAATAACGAACGCATCAACAGTTCTCTGTCGAAATCACGTCCTATCGCGTACATGATTCGCAATTCACGCAGTGGTTTCTCGATGGATTGCCGTTCATATTCGATTCGACGGCTTCGCCCTGGGACGAGACGACGCGCACGTATAGCCCGCTGATACCGCCAACGATGAACCTCCTTAGGTCCCTTTTTACATTCATTCGTGACTTGCAAAGACATGTTGTGCATGTTCTCTCTCTCTCTCTCTCTCTCTCTCTCTCTCTCTCAACTTATTATTCACTCATGGCCATAACGAGAAGCGTGACTTCAGAACTGCCCCATATTGTAGGCAGTCGCGGCATATATTTTTCGCATCGCGGTCGCTCACGTTTCGTTCTATCGAGTCGCGCCGGTTGACAACGTGAGCCCGCGCAAAAAATCGCCCATTCTATATATTTTAACGCAAGTACCGGAGTACAGAGCAGTAATCCGTGATTCTATTGTACTTCTTGACTGTTCTATGATAGAGGAGATGCCTGAGGAGTGTCCCGATTCGGCGCAGAGGGAACGGTAGGTTGCCAATCTGTACGTGTGAGAGATGTTGGTAGAAAATTCGTTTCATGCGAAGGGATCGGGGGTCGCGCATATGCTTTAATTTTAGCATTAATTGTCTTTGGTCTTGCCAAGTTTTGTCTGAATACATGCGCCTATTTGTGTTTCGTTGTAATTTTTGGCTACTTCTTCGCAATCATCAAGTCTAAGTCATCGATATTTTCATTAGTCTGTCGCTCTCGTTTTATGTGAAGAAATACGGGCAGAATAATATATTCGACTTTGACGAATTATTGTGTTACAAAAGTATCTCATCTCGTCCGTAAGACACGTTCAAAATGATTCTAATTGGCTCATTACGACCTTCGCTATGGCTAAAACACTATCTAATATTTCTATCATCATCGTTGTAACCTCAACCAACTTTACATTTGCCGCGTGGAGTGTCACAATGTCAGCATTCAGAACAGTATCGCTGTTTACATCGCTATGTTGTCGTACGCTTTGCCGCTGAAATCTACAGTCGCTTTCTCACTCCAATTGGAGCCTTTCTCAAAGCAACACTCTGTGCTTTTTTCAGCGCTAGAAGTAACTTTCTTTCCTCCGCTTCAGAATCTGCGCTCTCGTCGCCATGCGCGTTTGTATCCTTACGGTTGCTCACACCTTCACGTTCGTCCAAATCGGTAGCCACGAAACTGGAACGCGAAGCAGGGGCACCCTCAAACTCCTTGTTCTATTCTTTGCCCCTGTCAGTGTCGCTTATTTCGTTCCGAGCAGCATTAGGAGCGCGCTCAAGAGCATCGTTCGTAGCGACACCGTCGTGTGCATTTTCCATGTCGCGATCGAAATTTTCAGTGTTACCATGCGCAATCGACATATATACAATCAAAGCTACGATGGTACCAAGGAGAAAAATTATAGAAAAAATGTGCAAACGAAACGACCACGCCAGTTTACCACAGTTATCATTTCGATATCGACATTTATCTCGAGATGTTTGAATCGAATCCATCGTTAGACTCGTACCTTCTGTTGCATCTTAGTAGTCGCGATTCCTCATAGGAACTCATAGTAGATTTCTTTCGTTGATTAATCTGTTGTCACCACAGACGACGTTACAACGCTCCTGCGACTTTTTCGTTTGCTCCGTCACAGTTGACGATACAATATTGGGTGTGTGAATATAACTCCGCCCTTTTTTGTTAAAATAAAACACATTTGCTTGTTTAGAAAATTAAAGAAACGTTTATTGAAAGTATGCTCCATCTGCAGCTGCAACCTTCGCCCATTTTTCAGGTAATTTATGTATTCTTTGCCTGAAGAAGTGCTGGTTTTTTGAGCTGATCCAATTATCAAGCCAAATTTTGATACTTTCGTATGAAGTGAACCGTTCTCCCGTAAAATCTGACTGCATCGTCCGGAATAAGTAGTAATCTGAAGGAGCTATGTCTGGCGAATATGGCGGGTGGAGTAGCACTTCCCAGTCCTGTTCATCTAAATATCTTTTCACGACTTCTGCGGTATACGGTTTGGCATTATCATGCTGAAGAATTAATTTGCTGTGTCTATTCACCCATTCTGGCCGTTTTTCTTCTATGGCTCGCTTCACACGCATTAGTTATCGTCGGTAAATTTTTTTTTTGCCATTTTATATGCTAATTCGCATCCGACATTTTCAAGTAGGGTAAAACACTTGTTGCTTACACTTAAACCAAATTTCACGTAGTGCGTTTGAAAGTTGACATGAAGTACTATCGAATACAAGTGTTGCCAGTTATTAGTACACGTCTAAATATCTTTTCACGACTTCTGCGGTATACGGTTTGGCATTATCATGCTGAAGAATTAATTTGCTGTGTCTATTCACCCATTCTGGCCGTTTTTCTTCTATGGCTCGCTTCACACGCATTAGTTATCGTCGGTAAACTTTCCTTTAATATTTTGGCAACAATCCTCTGTCAATAATGCTTCCAATTCAGCATCTTCAAATTTTTTTGGGGGTTTCCATGTTCTCTGTCCTCAGATCCGAAATCATTATTTTGAAATCGTCGAAACCATTCCTTACAAGTTGTATTAGATTGAGCATGATCACCGTAAATCTCCACAAGCAAATGATAAGTTTCCGCTGCACTTTTCTTTACAATAAAATAGTGTAATAATACTTCCCGCAAATAATGTTTGTTTGGAACGAAAACCGACATTTTCAAGTAGGGTAAAACACTTGTTGCTTACACTTAAACCAAATTTCACGTAGTGCGTTTGAAAGTTGACATGAAGTACTATCGAATACAAGTGTTGCCAGTTATTAGTACACGTTAACAATACTAAAAGCAACATCTGTTGGGAAAGGGCGGAGTCATATTCACACACCCAATAGCTCGAGTTTCGCACCTACCGCGCAATTACTTTTCATCGGCGAATATTATTTCAGCGAACGTTCATTCGTTTGATGCATGCTTCAGATCATCATGAATCAAGCGTTCGATACTCATAATGAAAGCCATAATCAATATCACATTCGTCGACCACATCGTGACGAATATAGATTATCGAATCACGTTACGACGGATATAAGTTATCGTATTCCAATACAATGATCGATCGTGTAGCGACTTTGCAGGTACTTCTTCGCAATCACCGCTAAATCGTCGATATTTACATTGCATTTGTCACTCTCGTTTTATGTAAACAGATCTCGGAGTACGGACGGAGTAAAATATTTGACTTTGGCTGTATATAGGGTGCCTCATTTTAAGTGATATGGGCGATTGTCTCGCAAGTCGGTGATTTTATTGAAAACTTTTTCAAATGAAAGTTGCATGGCTTGAAGGGGGACATATGATGGAAATGTGGACTTGACCTTAAGTGACCTTGTCAAAATCAGGTCGTCATTAATGTTTTTTTCAAACGGAAACTCCTATTTTTTATTACATATTCTTGTAGATTATCTCGAGAGCTTTCCAAAACACTATAATAAAGTTACGTTTTATTGAGTACTTCTGTAACGTCTCGCGTCTCCCTAGGGATCGTGATCCGCCTGCTCTCTATTTATTTAGGCCTACCTGCTTACACCGGCACTGCCTGGGATGCCGAGAGCTTTTCCGGACAGATGGTGAAAGGGGGAAATATGGTGATTATAGGTGATATAAAGATTATGGCTATTGATAGGAATAGAGACTAAACAATTGTTTATTTAACAATGAGACAATATGATAGTTAAAAGTGTAATATAAATGAGTGATAATACTTATAGTTAATGAATATAAATGTGGTTTACATTATATAGCTGCTAGTAATGAGTTACAGTGAAGTGTTGAGAAAATGTACAGTTATCCTGCCCGGTGGAAGTAATGAAGGTGGTACGGTAATTTGCGAGGAGTTCCAGTGAGAGAATAGGACTCCAGTTGGTAAATGTAGGTGGCTGTCTTGTTGTTGAAAGTGTCGTCCTGTGTTAAATCTATCAATTCTATGTCTAGAGTTTCTGTCATCGAACGCTGTTTAACCAGCCGA